AGTGCCAAATATTATTTTAATCTGTGTATGTGTGTGTTTTTTCAGCAGAGAGTTTTTTCCTCACTTGCTTGCTTTTCTTTTTCTCTGCAGGTTCTGTTCTGGGAATCGGGCTTGTTAAAACTCACTCCTGGGGTCACCACGCTGGCATCGCTGACAAAACCATTCCCTGTTCTCTCCTGCCCGCCCGGCAGACAGAGCAACTGTCCAGGGGCCTGAACCGTCCCCGTCTCTGGGAGAGGAGGGCGGCTAGGCGGGCGTTCCCACACGCTGCTGGTGGGAGTGGACACTGGTACACCCTTGCGGGAAGCAGTTTGGCAGGAGGTCCCACAGGTGTGAAAGCTGTTCACCAGCCTTTGCCGGGCTGTTCCATGAGGACATCACCCCAAACACGGAGTGGGGTTCCCACATCACGATCTTGAAAAACTTGGAAAAAAACCCAAACGGCAAATGATAAGGGATGGTTAAGTGAATTATGGCCTAGATGGAATTAAGGAAGCCCTAAAAAGCCATCACCATGAAAACTGTGGTAATCTGGAAATTTTCACATGGCATAATTTTAAATGACATTGTGATTATGCAAGTAAAATCTGTTCACTGCAAAGCATTGAGAGAAAACAAAAACGTATAAAAACAAAATAATAATCTCATAGAATACCACCAAAGATAACTTCAATCAACAATTTGATGTAGTTGAAATATGAGTGAATAAAAACAATGTAAAAATCATACTCGGATACCTAAAGATGTGTGCAAACATTCTGCTTCATTCATTTAGGTGTTCTGATAAAAATAAAAAATTGGAAATGTCCTAATGTCCAAGAAAAGATGACTGGTTGATCCCATGATGGGGAACTCACACGACAACCAAGTCTACAGCCATGAAAATGACATACAGAATTATAATTATTGATGCAGAAATATATTATGAGATCAGAGTCAGTTACTGGGTGATAGATTCAGTGTGATCCCAAACTTCTAGTTCTGGAGCAAATGTCTATACGATATTAAGGATTAGCAGTGATTAAT